TCTCTCTCTCTCTCTCTCTCTCTCTCTCTCTCTCTCTCTCTCTCTCTCTCCTATCTATCTATCTCTCTCTCTCTTCATCATTCAACATCAGCAAGAAATGACAAGTCATAAATTAATGAAAAACAGAGCGACACGGCGTCTGTGCTCACAGAGGCCACTGCTTATATCAACTTCCTCCATGATCAGCTGAAGGTTCTCAGTGCTCCCTACCTTCACTCTTCAGGCGGTAGATTGCAAGTAAGCAGCTTTAATCTATACTTTCTCTCTCTAAGTTCTAAAAACCGAGCTTTTTAAACACTTCTAGTTGCATTTTCACCCTCATTGCAGAATTTTTGTTAGTTTCTATTTTAAAATTTGCAGTGAATTCAGTTTTTCAGGTTTCGACATAGTTTTAGATACTTAGACAAAATTTTGCTTGATTTCGACTTTTCTTGTTCAGGTTATTTTCAGCGCTATTAGATAAGAATTAGCTGAATGTGACCAAAATCTAACATTTAATCTGAAACTAATCATATTTAACAGTTTCAGATCAATTTAAACAATAATAAAAAAAAAAGGCTTACTCAGTTTATCTTATGGTGCAGCAAGGCGAAGATTTCTACAGCTTGAAAAGCAGAGGACTCTGCTTGATTCCAGTAGCTGCAACAGTACAGATAGCTAGAAGCAATGGTGCAGATATATGGGCTCCTATTACCAAATAGCTTCTTCTCCCCTTCGTTAACGGCCCCCGAGATAATCTAACAATATTCTTCAATGATTCTGACCATATCTATCTATTCCTCTCTCTCTCTCTCTCTCTCTCTCTCTCTCTCTTTCTCTCTCTCTCTCTCTATAAATATTTATATAGATCATATATAGCGGTTATTACTTGGTTGTATCAGCTGAGAGAAAATGGAATTGAAACGACTCAGTTGTTTTAGCTCTGTATCTACTACTGCTCATAATTGAGTGTTTGTATTGAGGTTGTGATGCTTGGACTGCCTCCGTAAGGGCAAATTATTATCCGGTCACCGCACCTAAAAAATAGGTCCGGACATCTACTAAAAAGTTGCCACGTGGATCGCATTTTGACTGTGCGCTTTTGATTGTGCTTTCACTGTGTTTTACCTGTGTTTTCACTGCGCTTTTGATGCGCTTTTGATGTGCTTGACTTAAAATTCCGAGGACATTTCACGTATCAAATTTTTAGAATATATCCGGACCTAGACCGGACCGGACGTAATAATTTGCCTTCTGTAAAGCCATACTTGGCCTTAATAGGGTCTCAAACTTATTAGTTTTGGAGATTTTTATCAGAGTTTTAGGTTCAATCAATCAAAGTTGTTGGGTGGGTCTGCAATGTTGTTGGTTGTTAGATGTTTTGATAAAGGGAGGTTATGAAACAATAGTGGTAATTAATGTGCGGTCTCTATTTTGAGAAAGTTATTTAAGGCACTTTCAGGTGTTCGACTAAAACAACTTTAATGCATTCAATGCAGTTTGACTATGAGTACTTTGGAACAAAAAAAGCAGCATTTTTTTAAGGGTGCATTCAATTTGATTGAGTGTGGATCTTGTTTCATATAGGTTCTTATTTAATAATAATAAATCTTACCAAGGCCATCAACGTTATTTTTTTGCCTACATGCAAGTCCTTGTTACAAGTGCTCCGTTAACTTCTATGGAATATCTTAATTACCAATAAATTTATACTAAATGTGGGGACCTTATGCTTGCTTCAATCTTAGCTTCGCTCGGGACAATTTTAGCTGCTATTTTTTCTTCTTTTGTCAAAAAAATTTGTACTAGAAAATTATCCTAAAAGAAGCTTTAGATAGCTCTCTATTTTTTTATTTAATGTATTAAGTCAGTTGATTGCTCAAGGTTTAGAGGTGAATCTAACAGCATCTCCAACCGAAAATGTCATTTTTCACTCTAAAATGTCATAAAACTTTAAAATGTGGTAGTTCATCTCCATTAGAATTTTATTTTTTATCGCATGCTTTTTTGTAAAGGTAACCATCTCTTCCCTGTTTCACGTGCTTCTTGCGAAGCTGAGCATAGTGCGAATATAATCGCGAATAGTCCATCATCAATATTGACGTCACATTGTTCACCTACTGATTTTTGGTGTGAGAATTGGAGTTCGAATGCAGCGATTTGCGGATGACATACAATGATATGTAATTTGGTTGGAGATGATCTAAAGGTTGGCTGCCTCTTCTAAACTTTCTTAATAAAATGCAAATAAATTTTACTCGCCCATTTGGCAGGGAAGTCCTTAATCTTATCATGACATTGGGGATGAAAATGACAACCATTGACAAGCATGAGATGAATCTCAGCACTCTGGATAAGGGAGGCGTAGTGGTAGTAAAGAGCCAGGAGGCAATGGTTGTTGAGTTTAAGCAAAGAGATTTGAGTATAGGAGAGATATCTTAGGGAAAATTGGAGATGATGAGGTAAATAATGTTGGGTGTAGAGCAAGGTGCATGTAGATTAAGCGGAGAGGAATAATTGGCGATGGTGTGAGCAAGATGAGTATCATGGACTAGCTAGTTGGTGACCATTGTTGCAATTAGGAACCGGCTAATTTAAATGATAAAAAAAATTTTAAATCATTGTCAAGTTTCTATAGATCAAATTCATTAAACATCAAATTTATGTTTCCACAAACATCAGGATTAGAGGTGTCAAAACCGGGTTTCGGGTCGGACTCGAACTGACCCGGGGTTCAAACGGGTCAACTCTAACCCGACCCGGATATGTAAACAGGTCAAAAATTTTGACCCGGACCCGACCCGCCGGGTTGACCCTACACGACCCGGATTTGGGTTTTGCCGGCGCTGGAACGTAAGAACGGCGGTGGGCGGACGGCGGGCGAGGGGGCGGACGTACGCGACGCACGGCTTGCGCGGGGCAGCGGGGCACGCGGGTGCGGGCGCGCGGGGAAGCGAGCAAGAATCCAAAAATTTTTAAATTAAACGGGTTTTTCCCGAACCATTTTTTTAAACGGTCGAATACGAGAACCCAAAACCCGACCCGTTTTGAAATCGGGTCGGGTTTTCCATGCTCGTGTCAAATATTAACACCCCTTATCAAGGATACAAGTCATTTGTTAGACCGGTCCAGCCGGGTTCCTACGGTCCGGCTTACAGGAATAGGCAGACAAAATCTCCACCTCATGTAACGCGGAGTAGACTGCCCGGTCTTCACAGAAGCGAATTTGGAAGGATTTTCTTAGGGAGTTAGGAGGGAAATTTGAATGTAGGGATTGTTTAGAGATTTCCTTTTTGATTGTATGCATTAAATAGTTTGTTTTCCTAGGGTTAGAGCATCTTGAATTTAGCTGAATTTTGAGCTCTTAGGTTTAGGTTTTTTTTGGGCTCTAGCGACATCTAGAGATTTGGGTGAGATGATCACCTCTCGAATTGAGGATCAACTGTATCTTGATATTTTCCATTTCTATTTCATCAAATAATACAAATTTTCTACTTTTTTCTTTGTTTTAGGTGGATTTTTGTGGAGGATTTTCGCTGTTTTTCTAAAAATTGATAGGAATTACTTGAGATCTTCAAGTGTTTCCTATCAAAATTGGTATCAGAGCAATTTTCTGGGCCAAAATAGAAGTCTTCCTTGCTGATTTTTGCTGCGTTTTCCTCTCCGATCTTGTTGTTTTTGCTGTTGGGAGGCTAGATTTGCGTCAAGCTTTGTTGATCTTTGCTATTGGAACCTAAATCCAAGTTCCCATGGCTGGAAGAAAGGTATAAGTATTGGAAGGGGAGATTTGACAAATGAAATCTGAAATTTCGGATCTCCAAACTCAAGTTTCAGATATAAAAAAGGATATCACCGCCATCCATGATAAGTTTGATTCAAAATTTTCCATCCTGGAGGAGATGTTGAAGAAAGTGATTGAGGGTCAAACCAAAATATTACCGTCAAAGGTGAGGGAAGGCGTCGACAACCAAGGAAGTGGGGAAAACCCTAAGCCGATCAGACGAATGGAAGATCAAGAGGTGGAAATTTTGGAGGGAATAGAAAAAAATGCCTTCCCTAAGGATTCATAGGGAGGAGTTAGGTAAAGGGTATGTGGAGAGGTGTGAGGAGGTGGGGCATGAGTAGAGGGATGTTGAATTTGAACGAAGAGGGGCTGAATTTGAAAGGCATGGACTTGATTATAATCAAAGAGGTGTCGAATTTAAAAGGAGAGGGATTGAATATGATCAGAGGAGTGCTGAATTTGAAGGGAGGTGGGCTTGTGGTGAAAGGTTTGGGTGCGAGCAGAGGAGAGATGATTGGCACGATTGGGGAGAACCACCCCCCTGGGGAATTAGAAATTTTGGAGGAAGTTGAGTCGACGGAGGAGATATGTGAATGAGGAAACTAAAAATGCCTATTTTTGTGGGAGAAGATCCACATGAGTGGATCTACATGGTGAAAATGTACTTTACTGTCATCAGGTTGGAGGAAGAGAGATTGACGATAGCTGGCCTATGTTTGGAAGGGAAGGCTTTGACTTGATACCAATGGAGGGACATGCGACGACCCATATGGAGTTGGAGGGAGTTCAAGAATTGTTTAGTAGAACGTTTTCGAATTGGCAGGGGAGGAGACTTCTACGAGAAGTTCTTCACCTTGACACAGAATGGTTCAGTGATGGAATACCAGGAGAGATTCGAGCACCTTGCTAGCCGATTGGACTGCCTTCCTAAAACAGAGCTAGAGGGAAATTTTATTAAGGGACTGACACGAGATCCAGGCAGTAGTTAGAGTGATGAGGCCTTGTGACTTGGGAGAGGCCATGGAGCTTAGCTCAGTTGGTAGAGGATCAGAGACTCCTGGAGAGAGAGACGGGAGGTAGCAACTCAGGAGGCTTGTACAGGATGACCACCAAATTATTGGCATCCAAGGAGCCAACACCAGATATTTTTCGGGGGACTTCAAAAAAAAAAGACTACAAGAGGAAGACCTGGGGACAACATCAAGAAGGTCACGTAAACGAAATTACATGAGAAGAGGGTGAAGGGACTCTGTTTCAGATGTGATGAGAAGTATACTCTGGGGCACGTGTAAGGACCGAACTCTTCAGGTCATTACTGTTTGTCATGATGAGGGAATGGAGGAAGGTGTTGTCTTTTCACCATGGAGACAAGGTAGATCTTTGGGAGGGGAGTATTATTAGACCGGTCCAGCCGATTCCTACGGGACCGGCTTACGAGAATAGGCAGACAAAATCTCCGCCTCATGTACGTAGGAGCCGACCGACTGCTCTTCACAAAGCCAATTTGAAAGGATTTCTTAGGGATTTAAGAGGAAAATTTGAATGTAGGAACTATTTAGAGATTTCCTTTTCGATTGTATGCATTAAATAGTTTGTTTTCCTAGGGTTAGGGCATCTTGAATTTGGCAGAACTTTGAGATCTCTTATGTTTAAGTTTTCTTTGGGCTCTAGCGACATCTAGAGAGGGAGAGATCGATCCTCCTCTCAAATTGAGGATCAACTATATCTTGCTATTTTCCGATTATATTTCATCAAATAATACAAATTTTCTACTGTTTTCTTGGTTTTGTGTGAATTTTTGTGGATGATTTTCATTGTTTTTCTAAAGATTGATAGGAATTACTTGAAATCTTCAAGTGTTTCCTATCATTATTCTATTATGTACCTTACATGAAAAGTTCATGAGTAAGCCTATAAAAGAAAACAACATTTACAATAACAAAAAATTAGAAACAATGACATCCAACTTGAGAAAAGAGCACACTTGAGCTAAAATTAGAGACAAAATGCCAAAAAAAAAAAAAGCTTAATCAGTGACTTTTGTCCAATATTAAGGGCTCCAAATTAATTTTACAAGTGTGCTGTCTACATGCAAACTATAGTCATTATCAGTTAATATAAGTAAAAGAAAGAAAAATTAAATTTCAACGTCTAGAAAGAATAAGACTATAACTCAAAAGCACAATAATTATTCATAAAAATTGAAAAGAGGTTGATGCTAAAAAAAGTATAGTCATTTCCTCAAGCATTAAACGATTCTGGAACAAATAGGTGTAACTTTGTGACTAAAAATAATAGGGAAACAACACCAAAAGTACATAGAAAATTTCACTCAATAAGTACGATAAATTCATGACACAAGATGATACTTAGACTCTAGAACTTAATACAATATTTTTAATGAGTATTACAAAATACTCCCAGAGGATTTGATTCCAGCATTCTAGTATTGATCAACTCCTTGAGCAATAAGGGCATTCATATTTGTATCGGTACAAACAACCAAGATAATTTTCAATCCAGTAATGAAATGTATTTCTAATGAATTTGATATGATAAGATTATAACTCTAATTTACAGCAATTGTAATGACAAAAATTAGGATAAAAATGGGGAGCAAAAAAAACCTACAAATCGACAGTGGAATTGAATTTATATTACAGGTAGTAGAAATTTTAATGAATGGACATGATACAGAAGTTTCATGTACTAAAAAAGCTCCTACCTTGCCTGAAGACTGTATAATGTTATAGATTGGATTCAGATGGCTTGCCATCTTTGACCTTCTCCTCTTCCACTAGTGATTCCACTGGTAGTCTGAAACTCAAACGGAACATAGCCTGCATGCCATTTTGTGGATGAATGCATGACAACATAGAATTGTTCATAAAACAGAAGCCACTAGAACCAATCATTATCTACAGTCTTTGTACTTATCTATAAGGAAAATTAAGTCCCATGCCCAATAAAATTTTTGAAAGCAACTTAATTTCACCATAGAAAGGTCAAAAACCATAATAAAAATTGCCAAATTCGGATTTCAAATGATGCTTTAAATTGAAGTTTCCAAAATGAAAATGATCTGATAGAAGGCCTTGCTGCAGCAACCGACTTAAGAGTATGATGAGCTTGGATCTTGGTATTCTTAATGTGGAAACAGTCGGGAAATACTAATCTAGACGTATTAAACACAGGAGGCGTGGCATGTATCATTTTGCCAACATACTCATAATATAATTTCAAGGTGAGATATCATAACTAATGTTATTTGTGGATAATATAACTTTCATAAATGGGACTTTTTCTAAAGTGAATAGCTAGAATGCAGGTCAAATTTCTTTGGAGGTAAGTCAGCCTAAGGAATAGTTGAAGGAATGAGAATATCATATACTTTTTTTTTTTTTTTTTGAATTAGAACCTCACCAACCTGCTGTACAAAATGATATGATTCATAAAGCCATAAAAGTTCAAAAAATATGTGACAAACACGATAAATTTCTTAAAAGGCCACCTTCAATATCTCATACAACTAAAACAACACAATCTAGGTAAACACAACCTTTCCCTAAGACTATCACTGCTATTCCTAAGAGAATAAAACACTGCTCGAAATTCTAATAGACCCATATGCTTCAAATGTAATAAAAAAAGGTCATCCCGCACCACAACGTTTCTTATGCTTTGACACTAAAATGTATATGGCACGAAACAAATTGATGTGAAACGGATGTGAAACGGAAACGCCATTTACTTGCCTAGGTGGCAAGACTAATTAAATCCCAAATCAATTTGGGGAGAGAATGAAAATCTGAAATTAAATTTCAGATTAAGTGATTTGGGAGGGAAAATTAAGTGAAATCCAATTTTGAATTCCCAAATTAAAGAGGAGGATTATTGCTCATTCAATTGGGAGAAAGTTGGGCTGATTTTGTGGAGTCATTAATGTGATTAGGAGAGGGAGGGGAGGCCATTAAGGGGCCGGCCACATGAGGAGGAGAGAGGGGATGAGTTTTGAGAGAGTGGGGACCACCAATTTAATTTCAGATTTTACAAAATCTGAAATTAAAATTTCAGATTTTGTAAAATCTGAAATTAAAATTTCAGATTTTGTAAAATCTGAAATTAAAATTTCAGATTTAATAAGGAAGGAAGATTCCTAAATTAAAACAATCAATTGGATTGAATTTGAATTTCAAATTCGAAATTCAATTTCAATTTATTTTGATTGCTTGAATTAAGGAGGCAATTTAGGAAACATTTAATGGCTAATGAAACTCCTAAATTTCATATTTGAAATTCAAAAGAAGAGGGGGAGAAGGAGGCGGCGGCAAGGTGGGAGGGGACCGGCGGGCTGGAGCTGGCCGGTGGTTGCTGGTGGAGGATTGGCCGGCGGGAGGAGCCTTGCAGGCCGGCGGGTTGGACCTTGTAAGACCTTCCTTTCCAGATCGTCAATTTACCCTCACGGATCTTCAATTTAACGGAGGTAGGGCTTTCCTCTTCGTTGCCGTTCGCGTGAGGTAGGGCTTTCTTCCTCGGCTTCGCTGGTTCGCGTGGGGCTTTCCGCATAAGAGGTTCTTCTCTCCTGCGACGTTGTTCCTGTAGGATCTAAAGTCGCGCCGCCGGCTTTCCGCATAAGAGGTTCTTGAAAGCAAGTTTGGCTTCAATCTCTTCACTGAAGTAGAGAAGAGGCTCGATGGCTGATGAGAATAGGGAATGAAGAAGAAAAGTTACAGAAGAAGGTGAAAAAAGAAAAAAAAAATGAATCTTTTTCTTAAGTATCCTATAATGACGGCACTGTGTCGCTTTCAGCCGGCATTTGAATCTTTTGGAAGGATGATCCATTTGTGTGGGTTGCCGGTAAACTATTGGTTGATATAAATGCAAGGCTACCCTTGCGGCATACAGATCCCTCCCCCAAGACATAAAAGGAAACTATCCCATTCATCTGACGAGGAGAAGGTGAACAACTGTTCAATAAGTTTGGCTTGGCCGAGCATTGATAAAGTCGTAATGGATGCTAAGGGTAAGGTATAACTGTCATGCCGCACATTTTTGGATTATTGTTTTCATATGCACTTTCTATTTTCAGATTTTAATGCAATGTTGGCATGTTTTTTAGAAACCAATGGAACACGCAACTGTTGAAAGCATGAATCAGGCATTTGGAAAATGCAACTCATGTGCTTCTGTTTATTGTGGAAACAACAATGCTTACTCTTTTTCAGAGCATTTACCAATGACCGATGACTCAGTAAAGATGATTGGAAAATATTTGCATTTTTTTGAAATGAATGGGAACTTCACAAATGCTCAGATGTATGAAATACTAAAGAAGATGGATGAACCATTCACATCACCAAAGCACACTTTACAAGGTGAGGAAAGGTACCAAAACATAGTTTCACCTCAAATTAATGGTGCAAAATGTTCTGGTGAAGGAATATCTGCATCATTTATTGAACACCAAGATGAAGATGTAGATCTTAACCTGTTCCTTAATCTTATAAGATCAATAACATGCATGTCAAAAGATCGAACAATTTCTTCCACCCATCAGGCAGTTCCATCAACTTCATTTTATGATGAATTTCATAATGATGAAAATGCTTCTACTGCATTGAGCTGAAAACTACCAACTCATTTCCCAAGCTTCATGCAGAAGCAAGCATTGCTGCTTCATTACTATTGCATCCTGTTGTTGGAGGAGCTCAAGAGAAACATGGCAATTTAACTCCAAGCATATCAGCTATTATTGCAGCCACAGTTGAAGCAGCTGCTACTTGGTGGAGATTTAATGGGCTATTGTCGTCTCCTTTTTCAGTCAAACATTCCTTCTGCAACACAAACAATGATGCTGAATCTTACAAAGGCATCCAAAGATCTTGAGTGTGATAGTGGCACCAAAGAAAACACAAAATTGCAATCTTGTGCCACAATATTAAAACCATCATCATCTCCAGAAAAATATTCACTGAAAATGATTGTAACTCTGCCGAGGAGGAAGAAGATTCAAGCTTAATCTTGAGACCAGAGTGGTAGAGCCATACTCATATCTGTCATATCTTTATCATCCCTAAGGGGGAAGTTTGAGGGAGTAGCAGCCATCAAAGAGAGAGGGAAAGGAATCGTCACAGGGGTAGAGAGGGGTGGGGAAGTGTTTCAGATTAGGAGGGGTGTGCAATCTTTAAAGCAAGGAGGATTGGCTTGTAAATTAATCCAGTCATGGCATGTACTTTTTGTTCACATTGTGTTTAAATTGATAGTCTTTTAATATTCTTCATTGTCTTTAGGATGAGAAGTCTCTGATTTGGTATTCTGGTGAGAGAGAAATGCTTGAAGCTAACTTTTGTGTCAAATATCAATTTTGGACAGAAAACTGTATGTATGCATAAGCTGGAAGTCTTGTTCCTTTTTTTTTGTTTAAAATTCATGTAACATAATTGGAAAGTGATTTTTGGCAGGCTAATTTTCGTAGGCACCTGCAACTAGAAAAAGAGTCTCAATCCTTATAACTTATTTACCAAAGGACGAAGTCAAAGATCTTAGGTTAAAAATTCCACCAAAAGCAAGTTTCTTGCTTTTCAAGGAATGTTTCTTCTAATATTCTTGGAACAAATTCTTAAACACGCAATCTGTGTTAGACTTCAAGTCTTGACCTTTCAAGAATTTATGCACCACTGACCTCGGCCAAGAGTAAGACTGTAATAATTTTAGAAGCATGAGATGAGTTAATTTTCCATATAGTGATCACAAGATTGCTCGAAATAAGGATGAAATTCTACCTTAAGATTTTTGCCAAAACTTGTTCTCATTGCTTCCAATGAAAAAAGATGGTTTCTTGGTGAGTAAAAACCCGTTAATAATGAATATTCTACCAAAAATATCAACCATTCCATCCACAAGTTAAAGATAAACTACGAGGAGCAAATTTTCGTTTTTTTTTTTATATTGGATTTTTTAGGTCGCTGCTTTCGAGGAATAGGAAGAAGAGAGTTTGTTTTTTAGGAAAATTTTATTTATGCAGTATAATGGTATAAATGAATTAGTTATGCTTTGTATTTGTTGTACATTCCACTTTTAAGTCCCTTTAGTTTACTTATTTTTTGTGATATTAGTAAGGCTGGTAAAAAATTATCCTCGAAGCTAACTTTCAAGCTTCACTCTTCACTGAAAAATGATATCACTCTCGTATAGTTCGAGTAAACTTCAAATATCTAAATATAAGTATGTACATATTCACTTGATCAGTCTCTTGTAGATCTAGATTCAAGTGTTTTCTAGTTAAGTTTGATAGATACTAAATAATTGGTAAGTCGAATAAAATTTTACCATTCATTTAGGACGGTTTTTTCCCTGCTTTCTAAAGCAGGTTTATAATATAAAAATTTTAAGTTCAAGAATTATTTGTGCTAAAAAGGTGTTTTAAAAAGCAATAAGAAAATTGTCTCACACGAAGCCTTAGTCAAACAAGAAACAAGAATTAAGTTCAAAAACTATTTAGCAATAAGAAAATTGTGCTAAAAAGATATACTAACAGATTGATGCATGAGTTTCCATAGTTTCTTTCAAATTATTACAAAAAAATTGATTTTACTTTACTCTATGGGGCTGTTTGGTTGTCTGAATTAGGAGTGTAAAGTAAAACAATTACTTGTATTTACTATATTTGATTGTTTGGGTAATTTTAAGCGGGACAAAAGAAAAGCATCGGATGTATTAGGCGTGTAGTACGGGAGCTATTTTGAGTGAATTAGAAACCCGCTCGTATTGAGCGGGTTATAAATCCATCGGAAGAAAAGCTTCATCGTCCTCGTGTTGTTCGGCTTCATTGCACGATAAGCTTCTTCGGCTCCTTCATTCTTCTTCGACTTCGCTCCGGAAAGCAGCTCCGGAGAGAGTTTCCTCCGGCGAGCAGCTCCACTCCGTCGCTCTCAAGTTCGGCGCGCTTTAATCCTCTGTTCCTCCGCTTCTTCGTCTTGCTCCCATCCTCCTCCTGTTGCTCGCCGCGAAAGGTTCCGGTGGCCGCCTAATCTCTCCATCGGCGGATGATCTGCTCGTCTCCAATGGAGTCAATCCGGGCGGAAACTCCGGCTACTCGCCATTTCCGCTTCGAAGGAAAATCACGAGATCCTCGAGGTTTTCTTCTGCGGAAGGTTGCGAGCAAACCTATGAATTAATCATCAATATGAACGTACTTCGCTGGACTCCATAGCTTTTTATGCAAGAGAAATTCTTAATACAAAGGTTAGGGGCATGGTTCTTTTTGTTGGGTTAATCATAGATCAAAAGAACGATTTAGTTTTACTTGTGAAGAAATAAGAAAGTAGCCGTTTTTGTTATTATAATTTTACAATACCGATGAATACTTCGAGCGATATTAGATCTTACTAGGACGATAACATCCCAAGCGATTTATCCTAATTACTGAATGCTGGTCGCTGGGGATATGTTTTTGGAATCAGCTGAAGACTTTGTTGTTTGATGAGAACTATGAGCATTGTGTAGCTGAATGGAGCCGGTGGGTTGATAAGAACTTCAATAGGCATGGAATATTACATTTTAGTGAAGTTTGTTCTGAAGGATGAAATTATATTGATATCTTGTGAAAGTTTTAATATTATTTTGTACCAGCTGAAGTAGCTGAGGTTATTAAAATTGTGGAGGGAGGGAGACTTAGGCTTCGTTTGATGAATTTATGTAGAAGGTTGGTTTTTGTGTCTTTATTTGAATCCATGTTTAGCTGATAGGATAGACTAAAGATGGATGAATTACCTTGAGTCGGTCAACTTTTCTAACTGTAGCAACGGACGGAAACGGACAGAAGTCGCCCACAAATCACCTTTTCTTCTTTTTCCTTCGTTTTTCTCTCTCCTAGACGTTCTCTCTCTTCAAAAAATATCTCATTCCTATATATATCCAGACTGATCGTCCCGGACGATTTGGGCTCTGGACAAATTTCGTCCAGATGAAATTAAATAGCGTCCCTGGACGATTGCCCTCTGTCTGATTTTCGTCGAGACGATCCCAATTCGTCCTGGGACGAACTGCTCTGTCCCCAAATTCCTGCACAACCTGTACCGATCGTCCCGGGACGATCCAACTTCATCTGGACGATCCTTGAAAAGTATATACCATTAGATCTGTGTGGAGCACATTATTAAAATTACTGCAAAGACATGTAACTTGCATTGATGTGCCCCAAAACGGTCCAATAAATATATATGATCTGTGTAAATTATCAAAATAAATAACAATGTTAACTATCAAATGCTACATATCTTGCTTGTTCTATGTTGTAGATCTTCTTTTTTTTGGTAAATCATGCGGTTTTTCTTATTTAATTGGTTCTCATAGTCTATCTTATTTTTTAGTAAGTTCCTTAATACCAAAAACACAATCCGACTTTATGGAGTTTCGTTCTTTGCTATGGCTTTCTCTTCAGTTTTGAGTTCTACTGCCAGCGAAATTATTCTATGCATCAGCTTGCAGAAGTTGGTTCCTCAGATATTAACCAATATCTTATTTTTTATTTCTTTCTTATTTTGATGTGCTTTTCAACAGTTTCAAAGTTTATCAGGTCTGCTAAAAATTTCATGACGAAAACTACAGCGAAACCAACATGAATTAATTATCAATTTAGCGAAACTGTGTAAAAATTCTGAGTGATTTTGCACATTTGGTTTCTTCCATTTATTTGCTTTGAGATGATTTTAAATTTGATTTTCATTCTGAAATCTATCAGAAAAGGCATAATCCTTAGCATATTTCAATGCTATTATTCGATTTCCTTTTCAATGGCACTAACAAGTAACAAGATCCTTAACCAAGTTGTGATGAAATGAAATCTATTGCTAAATCTTCACAGCTCATTGATTCGGGTTATTTTTATGATTAGTACTCGAACTGAATGCAACATCAAATATTCTTTTTCTGACTCCATAATTCTTTCAGGATTGCAGCTTTCAAATGGCAACAACTAATTTTTTTTCAAGTTTTTTCTTCTTCATGTACATAATAGGAAAAGTAATATTAGATTTGTGGCCGTTGATTTGCGTCCGACTGCTTTGTTTTCTGTAAGATGATTTGCATTTTAATTATCATTAGTGTAATTATGTTCTTTTTTATAGCTTTCGGTCAATACCTTTATGTTGAATTCAAAAAATAAATTTATTAAAAAATTGCTCTAGAAAATAATAAGAAAATTATTTCAAATCAAGTCTATATCATAATATATGGGAGCTCTTCTTCGGTATTTTGACTCAAAATTCAAGTTCGAGAAACCTAATGTCTGTTATCCATGTAATTTTTTTAGTCCAAGTTGAAATAAATTTTATCTTAATTCGATTTAGGTTTAAATAAATTAAATTATATAAAAATATTTTATAACACAAAATAATAATAATTATTACAAATATATTGCTTTTATAAATATACTTATTTTAATGCTAAAATAAATTATTACAAAAAAAATATTTTTACTTTACTTCGGATATACCTAACCAAATAAGGAAAACAATTCTCCTGTATTTATTTTGCAAACAACCAAACAGACTCAAAGTATTTAGAATGCATTACATTTACTTTACATTGCATTTACTTTACACTGCATTTCTTTTTCGGGCAACCAAACAGCCCCTATATC